CCGGTTATAATAACCAAGAACAAAGGTCCCGGCTGAATGCCATATGACCGCCTTATTAAAAATATTGCTTTCTACGACATTGGTAATAACGACATACCTCATAAAACGACCACATTTAACTAATATTTCGGAGAATTAGATCTGTTAGAACGACCGGCTAAGCTGTATTGTAAACAATTTGAATAGGTATCCACATTTGTCTTCAATGGCTTTTAAAATCAGGAAAGAAAACAATAGGATTTAGTTTAGTGTAGGGTCTTTTCTAATTCTTAGAAACAAAACACGTGCATGCGGTAGTCAAAGCCCGCTTCTTCATATCTCTTCAGTTAGTTTGTTACTTATCTATACACAAGACGCACCAAAACTTTGTGGAGTTATTCGTGAAACATTCAAAATGTCGCAAAGAAAAATAAAACAAATTAATATTGAAGAAAAATCGCGTATTAGATAAATATATTTTGCCAATAATTCCCTATCGATTTGTTTGTACTTGCACGATACACATTAAGCATCACCGGTTGTTACGACTATCGGTTTTTACGACTGAATATGAACAGTCCCTTCGATGTCGTTATAACAGATTTTGACTGTATATACATTTCAATTGAAAGCTTCACTTGATTTGTGTGAATAATAATATCTAGGTTTTTAGCAAACTCATGGTTGAACAACAAATCATGGTAAACATTTTAACTAGACTGTTTATTTATTATTTGTATTCAATTGTATAAACATCCTCAAGGAGAACATTTCTTTGTAAAAATTGCAATAAGTTTCTATTACTGCTTTCTACAATTTCAACATAAAGTAAATATTAAACTATAAATATGAACCTTTGACCTTCAAATCACAAGGTTTTTGGTGTAACACATTCAAATTGTGTTATTAATGGTGATTAGTTCAACACTTAACATCAGGTGGGGCATAAGCTTGTTCAAAACAAATTTGTTTTATCAAGGTAATATCTTGTTAATCTGCAAAGGGAACCTGATAGCCAACACCATAGATCTTTAAGACTAAAACTGATGTAGTTAGTGTATTTCCTTTGATTTTCAATGGTGTGACCTTTTACACAGAGTACAGATTAAGTACAAGAAACAAAAAAAAAAGTAGGTATTTAGTTATTATTGTGTTGGTATTCATCTGCTTCTACTCTAACCGTCAAGTTCTTTATTCATTGTCATTAAAGCAACAAGAAAAAACTTATAATTAAAAATTATTTTTCACAGATGAGTTGAAACGTGAGCGTGACTTCTATCGTGCCCGTGGACTGCCTTGTCCTAAGGACACTGCCCTCGCTGCAGACAAGCCTACAGGAGATGAGCCTGAGCAACCTGATAACACTGACTGCCATAGAAAAGATGAACAGGCATGTATTTATTTGCTTCCAGGAGCTACAATTCTTAGACTATGTTTTTATTATTATTTTTGGACAGGATTTTTTGTTAATTTTAGTGGAAATGAATATATGATACTATGTTACACATAAATAACTAGAACTTCTGGGAAGGATTTGTTTTTCACTTTGTAAGCTTTATTTAATGCTTAATGGCTGGTTGTCTGAATCACAATCCAATAAAAAATTTCAATTATTTCTTTGGCAACAGGTCAACGTCTGCTTAGAATGTATATCAACATCATTACGAACACTCAAAAGAAGTTTCATTAGATGCTCAGCTCAGGCGACAATAACACACCTCAAGAAATTTGTAGCTAAGAAAGTATTGAATGGAATCGACCAGTACAGAGAGGTAAGTTTTCGATTATTAAGATTGGTGTGGCCGTAATGATAAAAACATCTTATGCCTGAATCAAGCAGATGATTTTTGTCAAATTATAAAAAATTATAAATGTTCATGAATGTCTTCCAATAATAAATTTCAACATAACATATTCTTAAGCTCAATTCAATTTGTATATTGGACAATGAAATTGAGGCATTCATTTCAGATCCGCTAACATTAATTGACATTGTAATATAATAGTATAATATGTGTTTATTGCATCAAAATTAATGGTGACAAAACGTTATATAACATCAATCAATTTTTAAGTCAAAATCATAGTATGATCAAAACAAGTTCTTTAATTGTCCTTTTACTTAAATAATTTAGCTTCATAATAAAGTGACCTAGTAATACCAAAGTAAGGTCTCACTAATGTAACACTGAGTCAGTCTTTTTTTTTCTCTTTGGTGGGTGAACAAGCTCACGGCCAATCTGGTGTTAAGCGAATACTGGAGTCCATAGACATCACAACGACATAATATCAGCCCATAGACGGACAATACGAACAGTGCTACCCACTTTAAAACATGAGTACATACTAAGTCTCACTTTTACAATACTATGGCTGCCTCACCCGTTCAAACCAAACCCAATATTCCCTTACGGCAGAAATATGCTAGGTGGTGGTACCTGTCCGTATAGACTCACAAGACGTGCCACTAGTAAAGTTGTAGCCATAGTCCGTTTATTTGTTTAGACATTTTAGTAATTTAGTGTCTGTGAAGCACTGCTCTTGCTAGGGTCAGTGTTAGTAACACTCCGGTTTGAGCCCCGTGAGCTCACCTACAAACCTTAGGGTGAAGCTGAAATAGCCTCTCAAGGCTATCAGCATAAGTAGGAAAAAAAAGAGAAAAAAAAAATTGTCTGGGACATATGAAATATAAAAAAGTTTGTATACATCTTAGAAGATCAATAATAATATATGTATGATTTCATGAAGGTGATGTGGTATTTTTAGTGATACCACTACACTTTAAGATCTATTTCATCTATGTGTGATCTTGTAAGTTATTAAGTTCTTTAATTATTTCAGATTGACATATTGTGCAATGACGAATTACTAGGCAAGGACCATACTCTGAAGTTTGTATATGTGACTCGTTGGAGGTTTCGGGATCCACCTCTTCGTCTCCAATATAGACCTAAGATTGATTTATAAATTATCCTCTGTTACACCTCATTCATGGAAACTGTTTAAATTTTTGTAATTAGATAGGTGTGCAATTAATCTGACTGGCATTCACATTCCAAGCTATGTTTTCTTAGGATTATAGTTTAAAGGAGTTCACCATTTTGATATAATCGCTAAAATTGTCACATTCTGATTTAAAGGCAAGGATAACTTCAATGTGGAAAGTTTGACCATGTCCTGGATTTTCAGTGTTTATTATTATAGTGTCGAGAAAACAACAAGATTTACAGGAGTTGCTAGTACCAATCATGAACTTGCTCGGCTCGGGTTTGCTTAAAATATTTTTCAGAATATAAGCAAGGATTTTCTCATTAGCCCATAGCATTATTTTAGCCCTTAATTCTTATTTATGTAGAATCTCTAAAGTAAGGTTCATAGTGGCTCAAGCTAAGCTACGTTCCACTATACACCAACTTTGGATTCTAATTCATGGTGGTTTTATATATAACCGGTGAATAATGTTATTTTCATCGAATGTGAATGCCAATTTGTATATAAAGAACTAGGGAGGGTTTGACACTTTCATTCACTCTACTACCAAAATGTGATTAGAGAGGGAGGGTCAGCACTTAAGACAATTTTCAACCACTCACCATCAGGTGGGCCGTATGCTCGTTCGCCTACAAGGGCAATAAAAAAAAAATTGTGACAGTTGACATACACCTGGTGGGTGTCATGACCGTGAAAGAGATTGTCAAACGAAAAAAAAACTAACGAACAAATATTGTTAAACATAGGTGTTTGTAATTTTCTAGATATTTTATACGACATAGTTATATTATTTTATATTAAGGTGTAGTATGATTAATTATAAAAAAAACATTTAGTTCAATTTAAAAATAAACAATTTTTTTGTGTATAGAAAATAATAGAAAAATATTTTTAATCTCATTTTAGTTCAAATATTTTATTATGTTGTTTTAGTTTTTTTTTTTTTTTGTTAGCCAAGGACCCTTTAGCTTATAAAGAATTGTTGCGTTGTAACGTAGAATGTGGATGTATAATTATTGGTTCTCGATTATTTACTGAAAATAAAGACATTTTATCGATGTGAAAATAAATGTGAAATAAAGGTATTTCAAAATTATGTTGTCATTTTTTATTATAAACATAAAGTCAGTTGTTACCATTTTNTTTTTTTTTTTTTTTGTTAGCCAAGGACCCTTTAGCTTATAAAGAATTGTTGCGTTGTAACGTAGAATGTGGATGTATAATTATTGGTTCTCGATTATTTACTGAAAATAAAGACATTTTATCGATGTGAAAATAAATGTGAAATAAAGGTATTTCAAAATTATGTTGTCATTTTTTATTATAAACATAAAGTCAGTTGTTACCATTTTGTAGTGCCTCTAAAAACTATAGGTACTCACTCGACGCCTCGCCCGATCACTGCAACACATCTTGAACCTGAGCTCTTACTTAACAGGACAATAGCAGCGCTCATAGGTTTTTTATTAAATAGTGGATAGGAAATAGTTAAATTGGATTGCATCTGTAAGCACTAACTACCATAAACATGTGTTTTTTTTTATTTGATTTTTAAGGTCAAATCTTATAAGCTAAATGAAATTAGTGTGATAGTGTCTCTTAAACTACAGATTTGAATTGTTACACGCTGGTGCCGTTTCGACCACTGCATCTTTTATAGTAAGAATGATATCCACGATTCGCTTCAGAAAAAGGAACTCTTCAGCGGCGCAATTTTGTGTTTGCATATTGCTGTAGTCCGAGTAAGGTCCTAATTATGGGACTTCTAAATAGCTAGCAGCATAGATATCAAACGTTGTTAATGCATTCAATTATGAACCTTAATTCCATTTTTAATCATTATCTCCCTTTTGTCTAGATTTGAAAAATTAATAAGGTACGATGTATGTATTCGCGTTTCATACAAGAAATAGTGTTTTAATTGCCTTTAAACACCTACTGAAAATAGTCGAACTTTTTTTTAGTCGAATGATTTGAAACAACAAAACTGAACATCTCTATTGAATTGTACATTACTAGCTTAACATGTGTGCATCAATGGTCGGTGTGTAGTTACTTGGCGCGAACCGCAAAGTTTCGTTTGTGTGAGTGAAAATGGAAATGGATGGATAATTTCCCGTTTGGCACGTGAATAGTTATTTTTATTTATTTCCAACAATAAACAGTTCATCGCCAAACTGGGTGCCAAAACGGTCGAAAGGTTTCTGAGCCTTGCGGACAGTAATTTCCTGGACGATGTTAACGACGACTTAAAATGTTATTTAGCCGCAAGAAGAGTTGACAGGTAAACAATATCTTATATTTACGAAAAAAAGAGTTTATTTTATTAAAATTATAATCATATGTATGTATCACGCGTTTATTACAGTTGCAAAATGTGTAGTTTCTTCTTTTCGCATCTAGATTTAAACAGTAGTTTTTCAAGGTTATTGTGTAGGCAGCAAATCAAATGATGCGAAGCGAGATGGCACCTCTACCGCTAATAAATATTCATGGGGTGCAAAAAAAAGCAACTGCTTAACATTTCTATCGTTGAATCTGATACGGTTTTCTAATAAATATTGTAATATTAAGGAATTTTTAAATTTTTTATTTTTAATCAAACAAAAATATTTGGCGTGATTATTTAAAAAAAAATAGGGTACAAGTTATATGTTTTGTTGCGAATACAATACTCACCCCACAGAACACACGTAATTATAAATAATATATATTTTTAATATAAAAATATTAATAAAAAATATATATATATAATAAATAATATATAAAATAATAATATATGTAATAAAAAATAAAAACTATATAGTTGGATTACTAATAAATAAATTTAAATATCCCAAGGATTTTATGAACGTTAGTAATACTAATTTAGTTTTTCTTAAGTTACAATCCATTATTTATGAAAACTTCTAAAACTATACTTTTAAGAAACAAATTTAAGCAAACTGAGCATGCTCCATTTATATGTCCCGTTAATAAAAAATAAACAGCCAATAAAAAATAAAAAATAAAATTCCAACAGTGTGCTGGTGTTTCCACCAGTTAGCAACTACAGAAGGTTCCTGATCCATCAGTGTGTGGAGCAGTCAGGCTTGCCGGAGCTCACCACCTTTTCTATAGGTGTGAGCGACGAGAGACGCACTGTGGTTTGCTTCAGAGAGAGACTATTAAGGTATAAAACAATATAATACCAAAACACCATTACTTATGCAATACATCTATACTCTTAATCTTATCCAGATGACATTACAAATCAATATTTGCTATGAATAAATATAAGGTGACAATACAATAAATTAGAAACAATATTAACTACAATTAATTGCATTATTGAAATCTAATATGATAAGTCTGCTTGGCTATCAATCAGACAATCTACTACTATTGTCTTCCTTCGTGTAGTATTTCTAAGTCACTTTTTAATTGAACCCTCTACCTAATATACCTGATCTGCTTTGGTAACAAAAGCCCTACCAAAGAAGGGTAACGGAGGTTAATGACAAATATTACAAAACACATTCTTAACATTTGGTAGTTTATAGTAACATTAATTTTGTGTTAGTCCCGGGCACCATTAATATTGCCAAAATTTGATACTTTTCATAATATAAAGTGTGTTTAAATAGCTCGACAATGTTCCATGTGTAGCCATAACACGACACTGGCAGAAATTGCTGAAAGTATCGGCAGATTGCCATTAAAAAAAAAACATTTGATAACCAGTGTCAGCTCTGCTAATGTGACAGCGGCAAAAAATTTAAGAAAATCATTTGTGCAGAGTATGTCAATGGGAGATAAATACTATAGAACTGTTCCATTACATTATTATAGTGTATCTTATTATATGTGTTATATTATCATGTTATATGTGTGTTACAGTGTATCTTGTTATATGTGTTATATGTGTATCGTGTTATATTATTATGTGTGTTATAGTGTATCTTGAATATCATGCTGATCTCCATTTTAAAAGAAGCTGGTTATTTTGTGTATCAATCTGAAAATATCACTTCTACCACTGTCGTTCTCCAAGAAGAAAGTAGCATGCAACTGTATCATGTTTCAAAAAAATTGCCCAATTTTATGAGACTATTTGTTATATACATAGGTATTTGTGAGAACAGCCACATCCTTCAGTAAATCTATCTCTGCATTGTTCTGGGACCTTTTCTGCGGGTGTAAAGTTTTAAGACTTCATATTGTTTCTAGTGATGAGGCTTGCGCGAGACCAACCATGGGGCTGACACATGTCGACCATGACGACCATGCCAACATTTCACATACAGGTATGAACATAGAACATCTATATATTGTTGTATTTGTGTTCGATCAATTTTCTAAATTCAAACATTACTGCTGACACCTCCTATGCTAACACCTCCTATGCTAACACCTCCTATGCTAACACCTCCTATGCTGACACCGCCAACACTGACACCTCCTACGTTGACACCTCCTATGCTGACACCTCCTACGCTGACACCTCCTACGCTGACACCTCCTACGCTGACACCTCCTATGCTGACAACTATAGCTTAATTTTATATATTGGATATTTCTCTCTTTTATGTTCATAACAAGTAAAAAAAACCATTTCCAAATTGAACAACTATAGACAAACGTAGACGAAAATGGTACTTAATAGGTTTATCTATGTCTATTTATTAATAAATAGACTAGATAACTCTAAGGTTAATAATGGATTTGTTGTGTCCTTACTTTGAGCAAGTGTCAGAAAAAATGTACATAGATGGAGATTGTCTTGAGGTATCTTCCAATATTTTTATTACCATTACAGAAGCCAAGTGTACAGTCCACTTGGTAGTAAGTAGCCACTGTGGATCATGGACATCAGAAATTTTAGAGGCACAGCTGCTCTCTGCTACTGGCGTTGCAACATTACATAGTATCACTAAATTTTTTGTCCGTCACATCCGTCACATCCTCAAATCAGACATTATAGACAGCGAAAAATAAACCGTTTTAATGCGTTTTTATTAGCTTCAGACGTATGTAAGTTAGTATGTAACGGAATCTTTGAAAATGATTTTCACCCCCTTCAAAACGTCGGATTAACTCGGAATTTGGCATACTTATTAAGGACCGATGACAACTCAATATTTAAAAAAAAATTATAAAATTGAAAATCAACTAAAAAATGAAAAATAAATAATAGTTTAAAAAAACTAATAAAATACGCTTTCATAGAAAATCCAACTAAAAATAGAAATTAAATTTTAATAAATTTGATTAAAAATAGTGTAAGAAAAAATGATTTTATTGTAAAAAAGCGTGGGGTGCTTTTCAGGATATTATCAAAATAACCCTTCTACTCATATCTGTTCATAAAATATTTATAACTACTGATACCATGCACCCCACGCTTTTTTTTACAATAAAACCATTTTTTCTTACACTATTTTTAATTCAAAATTTATTAAAATTTATTTTTTAGTTGTATTTTCTATACAAGCGTATTTTTTTTTTGTTTATTTAAACTGTTTTTTTTGTACACTGCGCATTTGCGGTTGCACAAGTTCACGTCCCCCCCAAGTTGTCAAGTGCATACCGGAGTCAACAGTGTGGTTAATGCGAGTTTCTTAACGTTCTCGATAGCGTAAAAGTTAACCCAATTTTGTATGCAGTTGGAACAGCGCCCCTAGCGGCAAACGTACGCAAACGATCCCATTCCATACAATTATGAGTTAACTTTTACGCTATCGAGAACGTTAAAAAACTCGCACTAAACGCACTGTTCCCAACACCTGTCAACAACAGATCCTTAGCCACCGATTCCAATTATATTTTCGCGATTTTCAAATTACATTGCTCGCTGTTATTTCTTATCCCTCAAAAGGTGTACTGGTCATTGTACAACCACGAACAAAAGTATTTTAGGCACCCCTATTGTTTATAGCTGTATAGAAAAAACGTTTATAGATTTTTATGGTCTTATTATTGTTTGTTTGTATTGGCTGCTTTAAAGAAAGAGTGGTAAAAATTGTCCAAAGAAGAATGTTTTAAATCGGTAGAGTCAATGCCGTAAAGAGTGGCTGCTGTCATAAAATCAAAAGGTGGATCGATGCAATTATTCATTACTAGCTGTACCCGTCCGCTTCGCTTTGGCATTTAAAATTAACATTACTATTTCTCAACCCCACAAAGATTCTCATCATTAACGCCCCCGCAACTGGTGTAGGGAGTCCAACACTCATATAAATATTAGCCTATCCATTAAGTACATGTATTTTCTACATGGCTACCAAGTTTCAAGTCCATCGGATGCACGGTTCAGTAGTTATAACGGAACATCCGTAAAAACCACTGTAGATTTATATATCAGTGTAGATTTTATTATAATAAATCATACAAGTTACAAAATATATATTTTATTTAAATCTCCTATGTTAAACTACCCTAAAATTGTCAGTTCAATAGGGCTGCCTAATACTTTTGCTCGTGCCTGTACTTTAGTATTAATCAATAGAATTATTAATAGCACGTAACATGATGCCTCAGTATTTTAATAAGCAACCTACATACGAAGACAAGAACTGGTTCAGGCATACTTAAAAAAATATATATAAAAAAAACTACAACATTACACAATTTTATTATAATATATTGACATTTTTAACGACAAATTTACGAATAAATGCATAATATAATTCTATCTATATAAATAAAAATAAATTTGAGATGTCTGTCTGTGGTTTTGAAATATTAATTATGTAGTTTTTATGTCGATTCGCATTGAACTGAAAATCAAACACGTTTTTTTTTAATCTTGCTGTTTTATCCGGGCTAATAATTTTATTGATTAGCAGGGATAACATTTCTCTTTTTCTTTTTTTTTTTCTACCTAAGCTGAAAGTCTTGATGACAATATCAGCGTTACCGGGCTAGTAGGTGAGCTCACGGGGCTCAAACCTGACGTTATTACTCACACGAACCCTAGCAAGAGTCGTGCTTTGCATAATCTACCACCGGATCAGAAACGCGACCCACTTAGAAGATCCGGCGAGAAACTCAGTGGGCTGTGTGTGCGGGTTAATTTTCTCGTCGAGCCCTTCGTCGCAAGCGACGGGTTCAACGAGGACGATGACCGGTGCTTGGGGTACCTAAAAGCACCGTTAGTGGATCGGGAGGATCCGTAATGACGTGTTTTGGGCGACGTCGACTGTTTACCATTCGGTCCGCAGGATCGGGAATGTAGCTACCGGCGGCCATGATGAGAGGGTTCTCGTGTCGTGCCGCTTTGTCGAAATGGAGAATAATATAGCCCTACTGCTATTTTTATGTACGGCCGTCTGGTGTAGTGGTAAGTGACACGGTCACTACAAAAGGGGGTCGCGGGTTCGAATTCCGCCAAGGGAAGATATTTGTATGATAAATATAAAATGTCTTTTCCAGGGTTATGGATGTATATTAAATATGTGTATGTGTATAATAAAAATCTTACATATATTTCCGTTATCTGGTACCTGTAACACAAGTTCTTTACGAACTTACCACGGGACCAGTTAACGTGGCGTGATTGTTAATAAATATTTATTGATTTATTTGTTATTTACTTACAAAAAAATACAGAAACACGAGCCGAAACCGAATGAATACGCACGTAGTCATAATATTAGATATTTATGAAGAAGTGACGTTGTGTGTTATACAAATTTTGAAAACGCGTGGCGAAATGGTAGACGGCTTCCTAATTATTATTTTTCTTGGTAAAAGTAGTTCATTTCCTAAACGTTCGTATTACATATCGTTTAGATGTTTCTTGAATCTGTAGAAATCCATTAAACACGATATTATCATTTGTGAATATGATGTGGAAGATTTTTATAAGAAGACAGAAACGCCGCGTCCGGGCGTTCGTTAATCCGAGCATCAGCTGTTTTTGATTTAGTGATAGTTTTGATTGATGCTTGGTATTTTTTATGAAACTATCGTTTCATTTAGCTGTACTAACATGATGGAGCGTAAATAATGCTAATAAAAGGTTTTAAAAGTATGATATTTTTTTTAAATCAGGATCAATTTTTCTTTTCGTCCGGTCATCAAAGGTGTCATTATTACTATCGTCTGTCTTCGTTTTTGGAAGCGGTCTCCTAAGATCTAGTATTTCTATAGCAAAGCGGACGAGCTCGCGGATTACTTGCCATCTCTCGTGAATATCTGAAACGCCAGGGGCAGATAAGACACTGCTTTCAAGCCTAGGTCTTGTTTGATTCTCGAAAAAGAGCGCTCATGGCCTATTTGATGTTAAGTGACTATAGAGTCCATTAAATGACCACCATTTTACTGAGATTATATTTCATCCCATATCATGTCATTTAATTTCATCCCAGTTGATTAATGTCTCAATTTAATAATTTTCATTTCATTTCACTGCATATTATAATTTTTCATAAAAATAAGAATATAAATTAAAATAAGACATGACTTAAAGGTCTTAGTTACCACGTCATAAAATCCCTTAAAAAAACAACTATCTATGGAAAAAATACATCCGATGTCTTTATTAAATGTTGAGATAATGATATGGCTATAGTGTTACGGAATTATATCCATAGAAAAAATGTACATAATATTATGTCCGTAAACCGCATTAGCAACGCGGTCTATTACACTAAGGCCGAGTGCTCGTCGTGTTCACAACGTTCTTCAGCTTTCCCCCGCTGTTTCCTCTACATCGCGTGTTTCGATACATGAGAATCAGGTATAGCAATTGTTTGTCATAATTCGGTGTTACTGGTAAATTTTGGAATAACACAAAATTTTAACATATAAAAAAAAACAGATCGACGTCAACCATTCAGCCTGGCTTTAATGTTGTTTACATAAACACTGTCCGACTTCAAGATAGGATAGCTGTTATAGCGTCCCTCCCACTCCCTCCCAGTACAAACACGACATAATGCAACATTGAATTCCTTAAAACGATCGATTAAGAAGCATTATTTAGCGTCCTTGTCGAACTTATCGATTACGACCAAATAACTATATAGGATTATAACTATAATAGGAATAACATCGTGTAATAAAAATCAAACCCGCAAAATTATATTTGCGTAATTACTGGTGGTAGGACCTCTTGTGAGTCCGCGCGGGTAGGTACCACCACCCTGCCTATTTCTGCCGTCAACCAGTAATGCGTTTCCGTTTGAAGGGTTGGGCAGCCGTTGTAACTATACTGAGATAACCATCACCACTTAACACCAGAACCACTTAACACCAATTGGGCTGTGAGCTCGTCCAACCCATCTAAGCAATAAAAAATTAA